CCCACCCCCGGAAAATTATCCCTAAAATTCACCCGAGGGCAATAATCCCCACCCCGAATAATTACTGGCCCTGGGACCTTATAGAAGTTTAAATTTACATGAATTCTCGAAGCAAAGGATTGTGCCTACTTTAACTGTTTTAAATGGTTGATTTTTGTATTTACGCTTGACTAGTATCAACGTGGTGAACATCTCTATTGTCACCATACTTTAAATTAAAAAAGTAATGAAATTAAAAATGTTTCGAAGATAAATCTACGTATAACAAGGAAATTAAACTATTTACATTTTCTATCACGCTCCATGTTAATTTAGTTGCCAATCACCTAACAATTTTCCGCCTTAAAAGTGGGTAACTTTAACAGCATATTACATACGGTAGTGTTCAGTTTTCAGTTTTATTTTCACTTGTAACAGAACAATCAATATTTCAAAAACTCAGTGACATTACTTTAATGCATTTTGCAAATCATCATTTCAATTATGAAGGAATGTATCGACTTATTTGCTGTAAACCGTCAAAATGGAGCGATCTACTGAGGGGGTAATTTTCCTGGGGGTAATTTTCCTTGGGTGGTGGTTGTCCCTGAGGGGTTATTTTCCGGGGGTAATTGTCCTCGGGGGTAATTGTCCTTGGGGGTAGTTTTCCGGGGGGTAATTTTCCGGGGGTTAATGCCCAGGGGGTATTTGTCCTAGAACCGTTTTTAATCGTTAGAAAGCAAAACCACTACTTAATTCATGGACGGAAGGCAAGCAAGCATATTATTATTAACCACCTAGCTACAGCAACACTTATATTAATATGTCTACTACCATTAAGCCTACATGAGTTTTAAAAAATCCTACACAGCACCCACTCTACCCACCTCTTTTGGTTTATAAACCATAAAGCTGAGTTGGTTGATGGGCCTAAGGCCAATACGTTTGCCTCGGTCTCAATTTTAAATGTATTCACAAAAACGAAATTTATCATCTAAATTAAAGCTTCTTAGCAAGTCCAAGCTGTGGACTGAATCGGTGTGATTTACCTCTATCGCATTATATAAATATGGAACCAATTAGTCGATTTATCCAGCAATACTTTTGGCCCCTGGCCAGTGGGGATTGTGGTGAATTAAGTTGTAAAGTCGTATCAAATCTCATTTCTTCTCTTGAATGCATGAGGTAGATACATCGGCCTAACTTTCTAATTATAAGAGTGTTAAATGAGTTAATTAGTAAAATAAACTTTGCTTGCGTAGAATTCCAAATATAATATATTTTGAAATTTACTTTTCTCTTAAATCATTATAATAGGTTACAGTTCAAAAGGAAATGCTTTTCGTCTTCAGTTTCCCCTTTAAAAAGACAAATTCTGTCTTTTAAACCAATAATCAATTTTGGTCCTAATTCGATCGTAATATTTTGGCTAGAAATGTGAAAAGAGATGAAAAACATTTTGAAAATGAAATATAAACCAATTATATATATACTGTCAAGCGCTATAATTAATTGCCAACGTCATATGTATTTCAACAAGCTCCTTTAGCACATCTAGACACGTTACGAAACTTTCTTTATATAAGACGTATAATGGACTTTATATAATAAACAAATCACGCCCACTTTAATAAAGTTAATACGCGATGAATGTAGTTCTTATCCTCATCACATGGCAGACGACGTGTGTCATTTTGACTTGTTTAAAGAAAGTAATATTTCTATGATATTGAGCAATTTTTAATGATTGTTCGTCCTTGATCATAAAAAAAAAACCACTCTCAAAGGAATCAATTGTAATTTTTTGTCATGTTTTACGCACTGACCAATGAAGTGATGAGTTAGCAGTGTCGGGTCAGAAGGAATGACAGAAGGAGCCGATGGGATTATAGTCTACTCAGGGAAGGATTACCCAAGTGAGAGGAAGTTGATGTCGACTTGGCCAGGGCACGTTATTTGACTTTATTCATGTATAAATACGCTGACGAGTAGGAATGCAGCAACATATTAATTCGCTATCGCGAGTTGTCAACTTGAATCACAACAGCGAGTACGCCACGGTTACTTGTACCCAAAAATAACCATCATAAAACAATCTGCCTGCAACAGAGAAAATTTACTGTATTTATTTGTAAACGTAAGTATTGTTCAACTATACTTAGGGCTTATGTAATTGTTTATCCGTCCACAGAATGTAGTCTTCTGTCTAATGCTTGTCCATCGCTTTCTAATAATATTTCTCTGTCTCCATAGTTTGTTGCCGTCTCAACAGGCCCCTGTCTAAAGCTTGTCTGTTTTCGTATAACTAATGCTTTCCTTCGTTTCTTTTATAGTTCTTAATGTTTGTCTCTGTCTCAGAAAGCCTAATGCTTGTCCGTTTCTATTCCTAATGCTTTTCCCCGGCTCCTTACAAATTTATTACCTCTCCGTCTCCACAGATTAATCTCAAAGATGTGTCAGGTTATAAAACAGACTACAATGCTATTCATGGTTGTGCTGTTGTTAATGAGCCTATTAGCAAACACCGAATCAGCGCCAGCATCTCGACGTAACAAAAACCGATGGAAACTATACCGCAAGTTAAACCAACCGTCTACTGGCAATGTAAGAAGTATATTGTTATTATTATCAGTATCAGGAGCGTAGCTAGGTGTGAAATGGCCCCAGTGCAAGATTAATTGCCGGGCCCTTTGATGTGATAGGGGAATTCCCTAAAGTTTTCCTAAGATTCATCCTAAGAATTACTTCTTTTACTCCCTACTCCTAAAGGCCTAGGTTTGTAATAAAAGCTAATGATAATCGGATTTTTAACTATTTTAAGAGCGGGGCATATTCGGTCTCAGCATCTATTCTAAACTAATCAAGAAAATTGATTTCACGTAAAATTAAACAATTGCAGTGGTGGATCTGGGAATTCCATGGGCCAGAGAGGGATTTTCACAGGCGGAGGATGTATACCACATCAGCCCCACCATGGTTGGGGCTTAGGTAAGAAAATTTAAGATTATAGTACCTCTAGATGGCCAGAAATGGCACTCTCAGACTTATAATATAATTAATATAATTTCCTTTTTCCCAATTTGTTTTTATATTTTTTGGAAAAATAGGGGTCTGGTCGTCTGGGGTCCCCTTGAATACATCAATGAAATTAATAAATTCAGTTATTGTCTATTATTCCATCACGACAATAACAATTACTATCGAAATTAATACTGTAATAAATAAAAACCCGAACAACATTGAGGGGCCTGCTGGCCGTTTTTTCTTTTTGTTTTTTTTTTTTCAAAATTAAGTTGGAAATTATTTTAATTTATTATTTTTAGGTCTATTTATGAATGGGCCCCTAATAGCCCTGGGCCGAAGCGCTTTGCACTGGCTGCGTAGCTACGCCGCTGATCAGTATCATAAATAGTAAGCAATTATAATCGAAATGTTATTTATGTTATTGCGTTTGGCAAAAACGTACATTGCTGCCATAAAGATGTTATCATACTAAACGAGTATTAGAGATTATGGTAAGATTCAGAGATGATGTTTTATTGGACAAAGTCAGCTTATTAGACCTAAGCCAATTTCCAACCACAAAACATTGTGGTGTGTAACAAATTCTGTCACTGCTATAACTGTATTTGTGATTGGAATGGATTGTAATTGGAACTCATACGGTATAGACTTACCGGTATCATATATGAACTTTATAGAATATAGGGCCAAACTTTTTCAAAACCTTCATTGACACCACATTAAATCGAACATTTATGGATCAAATAAGTCATTACCTTTAAAGACAAGCTCCGGAGTTTTAAAAAATATACGCTGTAGAAACATTTTTCTAAAGTACAAAAAGGGTGTTTGACGAATATCTTGGGAAAGGTTAATGAGTGGTTACGCCCATTTTCCCCCCGTGTTTAAATATTCAAAAATCTGAATCTGATTAAACTTTCCCATGTTTTTCCTTGAAAACACCCTTTCGAATCTTAGAAATCAGTTCTACAGCATATATATGTATTCCTCCGACCCCTGGCTTTTGCAGTAATGAGAAACTGGTTAAATCAGCTAATTTTCGGCTGATTAAACGATTGACTAGCTGGTCAACACGAAAATAGGAACGATACCCTAATTAGGATAATTATGATGGTAAAATGATATGTATATTTATCATTTGACAAAGAGAATATGTTCTTATTCTAATATAAAATTAAAAACCACTAACTTAAATAGGCCATATAGTGCAACTATATAATTTGAATTACAAAATCTAGATTAAAATTTCATTGATTCATCATAGTTTTACATTATTAAGGCGCGATAGACTATGAAATTCGAATCAAATTTATCTTTGTGTGTATTTTGTGATACAGAAACATAACCTTATCATGACCTAAAATATGGCCTGGGGCATCAACATTTACTTATTTACGTTCTGTTTTCTTACTCTAGTTTCGTGGATCATCATGTGCCACCGATAAAAGCCGTCGAGCGTGCTCAGTTAACCCGAGCAGTTGGGTGTCTGGATTGGCCGAATGTTGTCCCGGATACAAGTGCGTAGTTACCGCGATATCAGTCCCAGGTTTAACTCATTTCAGGCCACAATGCAGGCCCATATGAACAGCTCCCAGCAGGGCAGACCCAGAAAAAACATATTTCACGGCGGGGATGTCTGGACATCCAAACTATTAAATTTGGCCTGAGTGAAAGTGTAAACGATGGCATCCCGTATCTACTTGATTAGCCCGATCATGAATTCACAATTGGATGATATTATAGAATCTGATTTACAAATATTTTTGTATTTTCGATGCCCGATTATCCAAAAATAGATAAATTCCGAAGCAGCAATGTGAACAAAGCATATATTATGTTAGTTAAGACTCAGACAAGACGGCTTCACACCAAGGAGGTAGTAAAATACATCCTTCCTCACATCAAGTTGTTCCTGCTACAACAGAAATTCGCTTAAATTTGAAGAGGTTTGTATCATGAGGTACATTCTTATACCATAGTTAACAAACCACCCGACAGGGGAATATGCGGAGGCTTTCAAGACATTTCGAGGAAAAAAACTATAAAAATATATTTGTGTATGCTCCTATATGTACAAAATGTAGACATATGAACTCATTTAAATAATTCATTTAGATCTATATATCTAAGTAGGAAATTAGGTTAATACACAGGTTGATAAGAGGCTATTTGAAACACGAACAATTATTTAATTATTATATAAATTTGTATCCGTTATAAGCCGATGTTGTTCGTCCATTGACAAGGCCAAGCATAGTTATTATTTCTCTAATTGCTCCATGATGCAAGTTTATTGGATTGTGTGTTATTAAATGTGTTTTTTTGTATAACTATTAAGGAAAGATTATTTGTGAAAACGGTAATTACAACTCTGAAACTGAATAGGATTTACACCAACGTAAGTTTGTAATCGAAATAGTGTTATAGAAATGTATATAGATATATAGGCACAGGTGTATTTGAACATATGAAAGTAAAGCTTTGTTCGGTTCCGTCTGTCGTTCTGGCTCCGATTGCATTTGCGTTTACAGTGCATTTGAAGTGCGTGCACGTGCGTTTTTAAAATCCTTTTTGCATGGATTCACACCACACCGCACGGCGGGCTGAAGTCAGAACGGATAACGGAACAAGTGCATGCATTTACGGAGACGCAACGCAACTACAGCACTAATGAAATCACTCTCGTTTAAGACAGTTATATCGATTAAAACGTACCACCGCAAAGCAAACGGAGCTGCAATCGCAACCGGACGGATGGATTCCTAGCTTTAAGTCGTGTACAACATAAATGGCAATCTGGTTTTCCATTAACATATTCAACATCATATTGATATTAAACTAAACAGCCTGACAAATCAAATAAATTCTGTAATTGGCTACCTCATTTATATTTAGATGCGCACGCTGGTCGCTTGGAAGTAAGCGCCTAAATGTTGTTACATGAATTAAATTATAAACCGCTTGATCATCACGAAATTAAATGATTCGAATGATACCTTTAAAAGACAAACATTAGCACGACTTAGGTAGCAGCTGGAACTGCGCGCATTCATCGTGGCAATGATGGATATAAATTGGCCTACAGTTACGTGATATGTTATAAAATATGTATATTAAACTGTGGTTATATGCAGAAGTTTAATTTAATCGAAGTTAGTAGGGTAAATATTATTCCTGTACATTACATTTGAAAAGAGTTTTTAAATTAAATTATTCAGTGAAATTATTATGCTTTTAATCATTCTCGTGCATTTGTTCGTTTTGTTTGACGTCAGGGTATTCAGTGAGAGGAAAACAACATCTGTACAATTCATTAAATGCCTAATCATTCAGACTAATAGTTGAAAAAATAGGAAACAAAATGGCGGAACTTCATTCATAGTGGGCGTCACGTGACTAATGACCCGAAGTTCAACTTTAATACCAGTTTTGTATAGAATGACGCAGTTGAATGAATACACTTTACCAAAAAAATAACTAAGGCCTAACAACTAAGTAATCCCAATCACGTACGCTGCGCGATTTTATTTTATTACTGTAATTATTTTCATATACAGTGGATATTTTATACGAAGTAATCATTAGACAAATTTAGACTTCCAATACTACAAATACAGTACAAATATTTAGTAATTAATAATATTATTAATAATATTAATTTATTAATAATAATAATAATCATAACGTAGTTTTATATAGCGCCATATCCATCTAACATAAGATGCTCAGGGCACTTGATATGTGGACTAGGGACTCCATCAATTACTTTCTTCGCTCCGAAGCAGCGTGACCACTCACAATTTTTGATATACCCAATGACTGGGTCGAAATTACCCAAGATTCAGCCAAAATTACCCAAGCTTCCTGAAAATGCATTAAAATTTGGAAAAAAAAACCCGTGTTTTTCGCATGTATAGTTTCCCTTTTAGTTCAATTTATAAACCATTTTTTATTGTAATTGTTTGTGTTAATTATTAAAATTAATATTCATGAGGTGATAATACAGATAGAAAAATACGCTCTCAATCGGCCAGTGTTATCAGTAGATCAGTGATCAAGTTTTATTATGTAATGCATTAAGTAAGATCAATGGCAACGCAAATCACAAATAAACAATTCTGAACCCATGTTTATAGCAATTAACAGTCAATTAACAATGTTACGTGCACTTCGTTGAGTTTTGCTTACTTGAATGGACTGACATATACTTTGTTACTTCTTAATTCTTCCTCTTTGACAAAAATATTTAATTTTCTTAGTAAAAATAAAATACCCAAGGATTTCAACGGAATACCCAAGAACCCAACACCAAGTCAAAATACCCAAGATCTTGGGTAAATACCCAAGCAGTGGTCACACTGCTCCTAAGTGTCCTTTCGTGTCTGCGCTACCCGGTAACCCGGTACCAGCAACTCTCGTCGTCCACCACAGGGGCTATCAGCCGTTCCAGTACTAGTCTCGAAGGATGTATTGGGTGGCGGACCGTCAAGGCAGCAAGGTAGGCCTATGCAGTGCATACCCTGGCTAAAACAAATAAAAAAATATAGTAGTACAGTTTCTCCGTTTTATTTAACATTTCTTAGTCAGGATCTTCTATATACACCCTAATTTCTTGAGTGGAATGCTATTCATTGGAATAGCAAAGTTTTTCAATGTTTGGCCTACTTTGGTACTGTATCTAGGATAAGTCACAGTCGGGCCTATAGCATCGTACTTAAAATTTCCGCATGGCTGGTCTTCGATATCAGCCAATCACGTATTTAGTGAGTCAATGGATGCCATTTTCGTGATTTCTGAGGAGGAAATGGAGGGGAAAAAAAGAATGAAAAGGGAAAGAAAAAAAAATTGCACTGATGATTATGATTATTAATGCCTGACTCTGGGTGTGTTCTTTTGTGTTTTGTTTATCATTATTATTTTTTTTTTGTTGTTTATTATTATTGTTATTATGATTGTTATTATCATTATTAATAATATTATTATTATTATTTTTTTATTTATTTTTTTCAAGACCACAATGAAAAACATTTCTTTAAAATGATTGTGTCATCCTGGCTAAAGATATTAGTAAATATAGAAAATAGAATATTTTCTCTATGATGGATGGAAGTCAGCAGGGAGATGTACTGGTCAGAGCATAGAGAACATAATTTCTCTATGGTCAGAGCAGGGAGATGTAACTGGTCAGAGAATACCCTACAACGCTTAAATTTGCTATTGTGACAACCGTGTGGTGGCGTCAGAATAGCCAATTTAACACTGGAATGGAAGCAGTGCTTCTTAGAGTATGTGCGCATGCTCTTCTCACAAATCGGGACCTCCACTGCCGATCGGGTATTTTATCTATAAGCCCATCTGAATCGATTAAAGTTTAAATATATTTACATACATATGACCGGTATAGAAGAAACTTTGAATTTTTATTATTTGAATTGAAATTTATTAAAATACAGGAATAAGAATTCTTTTGAAGAGAAGACTACCATGCCGGTATTAAAGATAACATGCATTGTATTTTGACTAGAACGCAATCTGATTCTGTATAGTAGTATGGAATGTAGGACATAAACCACCCAGGACATAAACCACCCAGGACATAAACCACCCAATTGGAATATACCATTGTTAAAGTGGGTGGGCAATAGGGTAAACAATGATCATTGTAGATTTTAGTAATCACTGTGCTTAAAGTTTAATTTTTTTTTAGTTTTAGTAAACCATATACATGTATGATAAATACTTTTTTATAGAATTAGTCATTTATATTCTTAGTTTTACCCATTGTGCAATAATTTTAGAAAATAATTTTAGAAAACTAAAATATACCTATTAAAACAATTAAACTTTAAGCACAGTGATTACTAAAATAAAATTATTATTATTATTAAAGGGAAGTATTTAATTGAAAAGTTCCTATTTATCTCAATTAAAATATCAGATAAATAACTTTACTCTAAAATGTCTAAATTAATGGACGAGGTGTTGCCACAAAAACAATTAATACAGACACACTGAAGCAACCGAGCGTCCGGTGTTATTTTAGACATTATAATAATATATCGTCTTTTAGTAAATAGTCATGTCCTTTGAAAGCCGGATTTTGATATTTTCTCCTGTGATACCGACATGAAGTGCCAGAATACAAATCTCCTGACCGGAAAGTATACAAAAAATAGTATGGTTAAATTTAAAAACATCTCATGGTTTTAGTCGTGGGTGTTAGATAAGACAATAGTTGAAGTATATATTTACTTACTTGTTTTTTTTTTTGTTTTTTTTGTTTTTTTTTTGTTTTTTTTTTTTTTTTTAGATCAGGCATTTTGTCATTGCAAACATTGTCTTCAACGAAAAGTGATACGATATTTTATTAGATTTTCTTTTAAAGTCGATATTGAACAATAATTTTTTGATATGCTGATATTGAACTAAAAATATCCATTATTAAGCCAACTTTATTGTAGAGTCCAGATAAAAGTTTTAAAATTAATTTTCTTCACTGCATGGTAAGTCATTCGTTGTATTTGTATTTTTTTCTCCAAGAAGTCAAGCAGATGTTTGAATGAACACAATTCGTTGATAAAGCAGACATAGGGCCTATTCTGTGTATTGATTTGTTTAGAATCACCATGTATAGATTATAACATCATCGCGAATTCAACATTGCTTTGCTCAGCCTTTTTGAATTGTGCGTGGTATTTTAATATCTTAAGTGAACTACATAGCTTTTGCATATTTTGTGTAAGTCTGAAATTTCGATCGAGATGATATTCGTTTGCTATAGCATATTTTGCCCAATTTCAACCAAGGTTGGATATATTCATACAACATTTGCTTTCCATTTGACAAAACAACCACACATTACACTCCCTTCGCTTACGACTCCGCCCTCTACTTGTCACCATCGTAAGTATAGAAGCTCTGAACCCGCCCCTGGGACCCCACCTGTGCGATAGTCAGGATAAACTCTGGATCCGTGCCTGATGATAATGTCAAAATTTAAAAATTAAAAAAAAAAAGATAATTAATAAGATTTTGAATAAAAGTGGGGCTACCCACACAAAAGAAAAAAGAGTAATTTGAAGAAGAGAGAAGTTTAATTTAATTGAAATCCAGTAAAACATCTAGTAATAACCCTGTGTTACTATTCTTTTTTTAGGTGGGGGGGGGGGGGCTTTACCGTACTATTAGAGTATGAGTTACTATTAGAGTAGTGGGTTACTATTAGAGTAGTGGGTTACTATTAGAGTAGTGGGTTGCTATTAGAATAGTGGGTTACTATTATAGTATGGGTTGCTATTAGAGTAGTGGGTTACTATTAGAGTAGTGGGTTGCTATTAGAATAGTGGGTTACAATTAGAGTATAGGTTGCTATTAGAGTATGAGTTACTATTAGAGTAGTGGGTTGCTATTAGAGTATGGGCTGCTATTAGAGTATGGGTTGCTATTAGAGTATGGGTTGCTATTAGAGTAGTGGATGACTATTGGAGTATGGGTTACTATAAGAGTAGTGCTTTACTATTAGAGTAGTATGGGTTGCTATTAGAGTAGTGGGTTACTATACTATGGGTTGCTATTAGAGTAGTGGGTTACTATTAGAGTATTGGGTTACTATTAGATTATGGGTTACTATTAGAGTATGGGTTACTATTAGAGTAGTGGGTTACTATTAGAGTATGGTTTGCTATTAGAGTAGTGGGTTACTATTAGAGTAGGGGGTTGCTATTAGAGTATGGGTTACTATTAGAGTATGGGTTGCTATTAGAGTAGTGGGTCACTATTAGAGTGGTGGGTTACTATTAGAGTATGGGTTACTATTAGAGTATGGGTTGCTATTAGAGTAGTGGGTTACTATTGGAGTATGGGTTACTATAAGAGTAGTGCGTTACTATTGGAGTAGTATGGGTTGCTATTACAGTAGTGGGTTACTATACTATGGTTGCTATTAGAGTAGTAGGTTGCTATTAGAGTACGGGTTACTATTTGAGTAGTGGGTGACTATTAGAGTATGGTTTGCTATTAGAGTAGTGGGTTACTATTAGAGTAGGGGTTGCCATTAGAGTATGGGTTACTGTTAGAGTATGGGTTGCTATTAGAGTATTGGGTCATTATTAGAGTATGGGCTACTATTAGAGTAGTGGGTTACCATTACTAATCTTAATGTAGGCACTTGAAAATAGTAACCCCCGCCCATTTCGCGTCAGTACGGTAATTCATAGAAATAAGTAT